CTCTAAGCATCGAAGTGCCACAGTGTTGAACAAAAACCCATTTGAAAGGGACAGGAATTCCGTCTCTCCCAGAGATGGATGTGCAGAGGCAAGTTCTGCGGGAGCCGTGGGCAGGATTTCAATACCCCCGCACCCACGTGGCCATTCCTTCCCTACGCCGCAACCCAGGGACGAAAAGGGTAAAATCCCGGAACAACGGGAGGGAGGGAAAGGAAAGAGCTGGTTGGAATTACATATTCTCAGGAGGCTCGATCAATAAGTCCTCTCAGAGAAACCAGAGCCACGAAGAAAGAAAACGGTGGCTGAGCTCAGCTGGGAGTTGAGAGTGCCTGAAAACTGACGGGGGCCAGGCAGTCGTGGCCCACGTGGGGGGAGGGCTGGGACCGGGGCCTAACGCCCCCATGTCCTGTGTCCAGCCTTCTGGCCCATGGTAAGCCAGGTTCTCTCTCTAATCTCAGGTCCCCACTTTCCACTCCGCTTTCTGGTTGACTGAGGGCTAAATGCCTATTCATAAGGAGGCAAAGACAGCAATGCTACCAGAATACTTTCCACATACACAGCAGAGAATCTAGGTCATCATCCAGGTACCCTTTCTAATTTGGGAGACGTTACCCAGGATGCAGGATCCTGATGCACGTCTGCCCCTAACCATCCACACCTCACTATCTCCTGGGCACAGAAAGGCAGGGCAGTAGAAACAGAAGGGTCACCCCACTGCCCGATGAATACACACAGGCCACCTCCGCCCAGTGTCATTAACAGCTCCAACACTGGCATAGGACTCAAGTTAACACGGTCTCACTTAAAACCCGAGAAGGTATGTGGCAATGGCTGACATGCTTGCTCTTTTGTGATGTTTCCAGAGGTGCTGAACTAAAACCCACAGCACCGAGCTATTAGACAGCACAAAGGCATCTCCTTTTATTTCCTCACCCACCTTCAGATCAATTTAATCATCCGCCGAACAGGAAAGCAGAACCACAGCCTAAATTATGGAAGTGAGACGCCTGCTCTTATTAAGTTTCAACTTTTGACCTCCATGTTCCCACTGCAATACCCAGCGTAAGGAAAGAAATGATCAGTTATGATCGCATGTTTGTGGGGGAAGAAGAGTATGATTATAGAGGAATTTACAAGAAATCAAAAAGGTACTGCTCGAGTGAATGGAAAACAATAAAAGCAGTCATAGGAAGGAAATGAATGACACCCAAACATAAATGGGAAGGGAAGCTTCTCCTGTGCTAGGAGAGGCCTCTGAATCAGACAGTCTCCAGGAAGGATCCCAAATCCCCAGGCCAGCTGCCACCTGGGAGCTGGGGTGCATGTGGGTAGCAGGGCATGGTTCTTCCACCCCACCACACCCTGGCCTCACATGAGATCTATTCCAGGGGCTCTGAGCATGTCGGGTGGCCAAGAATGAACCGACAGCGGCTGACACTCAGGCAGCACCCGCACGCCACAAGATGCTCCTCAGAGCCACATGGGGTGGTATCTGAGCCTGGAGCCACTGGCCTGGGCTCAGCTCCTGGCCTCTTCTTGGGCAAATCATTTCCCTGTGCCTCAGTCTGCCCACCTGCAGCATGGGGATGATCAGAGTCCTACCTTATAACGTAAATAAAATGTCTCTTCAAATGAGGTGATGGGTGTCGAGTGCTTAGCACAGCACCTGGGACACAGGAAGCCTCTAAAGGTGACAGCTGGTGGTCCAGGGGTTAGGAATTCACCTTCCAATGCGTCAGACGTGGGTTCAATCCCTGGTCGGGGAACTAAGATCCCACATGTGCATGCTCAGTTGCTCAGTCGTGTCTGACTCTGAGCAACCCTACGGACTGTAGCCCACCAGGCTCCTCTGTCCATGGGATTTCCCAGGCAAGAATACTGGAGTGGGTTGCCACCTCCTCCTCCAGGGGATCCCCCCAAATCAGAGGCTGAACCTGTATCTCCTGCATTGGCAGACAGATTCTTTATCACTGTGCCACCTGGGAAGCCGTAATTCCCACATGTTGGGAGCCCATGAGCTGCCATGAGGAGCCAGTGCAGCCAAAAAAAGTGACTGCCATTATTATCAGGATGTGTTGTCACCTGACTTTTGCCCTCAGTCTTTAAGCCATTCACCAAGGGAGACCACATCTACTTTGCAGTTGAGGAAACTGAGGTGTGGTGTGTTATACACTGAATGCTGTGTTCCCCTCAAATTTATAGGTTGAAACCTATCTCCAGTGTGATGGTGTTTGGAGGTAGCAACTTTGTGGGGTGCTTTAGGTCATAAGGGTAGAAACCCTCATGAATGGGGATTAGCACCCTTATAAAAGAACACTAGAGGACTCTAGTGGACTCCCTTACCCCTTCTGCCACTTGAGGACACAATGTTAAGACACCATCTATGAAGGTGCCGCGCCTTGCCAAGGCTGCGCCTTGGCCTTGAACCTCCCAGTCTTCTGAACTGTGAGAAATAAATCTGGTTGCTTGTAAGCCACTCAGTCGGTGGTAATTGTTAGGCAACACGCATCTTCACATGCATGCTGTGAGTTAGGCATTACATCCCCATTTTACAGATGTAGAAGCCGAGGCTCACAAAAGTTAAGTGACTTCCCGTGGGGCGAGAGGGCGTGTAAGGATGGGCTGAGGATAGAATTTGGATATGCCTGACTGGACACTACTTCCATCACCCCAGGCAACTTCTCTCTGTGGAGCCGAGAGAAAGAGGGTGGTAAAAGCAGCCAGGACACAGGGCCTGAAGACACATCAATGAGCCATAATTTAACATCACGGGAGGCCAGTCTCCCCTGTAAATGAGGGGCCTGCCCACCATCCCACCCAGAGTCCTTCCGTCAGTGACCAGAGAGGAGGGCGAGGATGGTGACCGAGCCCGCCAAGAATGACTGCAGTCACTAGAGAGGCCGGAACCCACGCTGCTAAACACACCCCTGAGGCTGTAAGCACGGTGTGACATTTCTAAAATAGTTCCATGGCCATCAAATGCCAAGTAAGTCCTCTCTGCTAAAGGCTTTAATAAGACTGGGAAGTAGTTTATGAGTGCAGGATCTACCTCAGAGCATTGGAAATGTCACTAGAATTAAAGTGTGCTTGTTCCAAAATGACGAACTAATGACTTGTCCCTCTGGAGATGTGAGGTGCACAACCAGCCCTGGTCTCCAAAGCACCCGGAGTGTCAGCAGCTGTGAGGGATGTCATGGAGAGGAGCAGACACGGTTCCTGGGCATCCAGGATTTATTTTTCTGCTGGCCTCGGGCTACAGAGGGGCCAGGCATGTTACTTCATATAAACAATAAGAGATGGGGGACTTCCCTGGTGGTCCACTGGCTAAGATCCTGTGCTTCCGACGCAGTCAGCCTGGGTTCAATTCCCAGCCAGGGAACTAGGTCCCACAGGCTGCAACTAAGAGTTCTCACGCTGCAACTAACAACTCCTGCACGCTGAAACTAAAGAGTCCATATGCCATAAGGAAGATCCCGCCTGCTGCAACTAAGACCCGGCACTGCCAAATAAATACATAAAATACATAAATATTTTTAAAATAAATTAAAAAAACAAGAAGAGGTGACTGTGAACTGGCAGGACACAGGCCCTCATGCTCCAAGTGTGTGGCCGTGCCAGGCACTGGGCCAGGGCTGCCGACAGAGCTGCTGGCCCGCCTGCCCCCAGCTCTCCCAAGGGTTGGTACCGATGCCAATCGACAGCCCTCAGATCTTCTCCTCTGGCTCAGCCTCTCTCCCACTGGCACCCGCCTCAAACTCAGCACACCACAAACAAGTCCCTCATCAGCCACAGCACCGGCCCCATCTCAGTGACACACCACCCAGAGCTAATCAGGACAAAAACCCAGAGTCACCTTCAACTGTGCCCTTCACTCAGGCATCAAGGCCAGTTCCTCTCAGGAGCGTTCTGCTCCCCACCCCAACAGCCACCTGGACCCTGCAGCAGCCTCCTAATTGGCAGCCTGCTCCCATTCCTGCCCCACGACTTAAAAAATCACAAACCTGATCCCACCACTCTCCTGGTTCCACTGTCTCAAGACAAGGTCTGGGCAGACAGCATGGCCCGCCTGGCCCCTGCCTGTCTCTCTGACCAACCTCAGGGGTCACTTCCACAGTGAGTGGCCCTAGGCTGGCCACAGAGCCACCAAACTTTCTCGTCTCCAGCCTTTGAACAAGTGGCCCCTTGGCCTGGATTATGCTTTCCTCCCCTGCTCTGCGTTGCCCCCAACCTCATGAGCCAACCCGTGCTCACCCTCAGGCCACAGTGTTCCCAAGACTAGATGGGCAAGGTCTCCCAACCAGATGGTGAACTTGACGAATGGTCTTAGGGTCAGACGTGAGGCATCCACATACCTCCCAGTCAGGGGATAATGTGGCAAAGGCCCTGCCTCTCCTCTCTCCTCCCTTCACAATAAGTGCAGCCACATGACAAATAAAACATGTTTTAGTGCTACCCAAGAGCACCTCGATGGTGTAGGAAAACTGGCAGCGATCAGAATTGAAGGGTCTCTTCTGGGACCCACTGGAGGCACGTCGCCCTGCTGTGACCCAACAGAACAACACAGCAGGCAGGGGCTACCGGTACCGGCCGGGGAAGCGAGCGGGCAACATAAGACACATGAAAAGGAGGCCAACTAGTCAAGACAGACATGTGACATGAGGAGAACACACTTGCCTTTTGGGTAATGGAATTATGTATGAGGTTTACTTTTATTCCTTTCACTATCAACTTTAACTGAGCTATGTAACTTTGGCTCCTTTACAGTAAGATTTCGTTTTAAAAACTTCTAAATAAAGAGAGAAATACAATTGACACTCGAGTGACTCGTGCCCTTCTGGAAAAACAGACCAACTGACAAAAGAACAAAACAGAAGAGGCTGAGAGAAGAGCTTCTAGCGACCAGCTTGCCTGAGGGGCTCCCTGAGACAGGGTGGGTGGGAACAGCGGGGTCTCTCCCCTTCCTGGGCTGAGCACAACCAACAGCCACAAGCCATACTCACCACTCCACGATCTCTGGATGAAGAATGGTGTTGTTGACATTGAACCTACGGAGAGAAAACAAGTGAAGTCCATCAGTTCCACGGTCTATTCATCTCCCAGCAAGAAATATTTCATTCAAGACACATCAAGAGGGCTTTCCTGGTGGCTCAGTGGTAAAGAATCCACCTGCCAAAGCAGGAGACACAGGTTTGATCCTTGATCCGGGAAGATCCCACATCCTTCGGAGCAACTAAGCCTGTGTGTCAGGACTATTAAACCTGTGCTCTAGAGCCGGGGAGCCACAACTATGAGCCTAAGTGTCCCAGAGCCCATGCTCTGCAATAAGAGAAGCCACCCGTAATGAGGAGTCCATGCACCACAACTAGAAAGCAGCTCCCGCTAGCCACAACTAGAGAAAACCCTATGCAGCAACGAAGACTCACCACAGCCAAAAATAAATAAATAAATGAATAAAAGACATACCGAGAGAAGATCTGATCAAGAGAACTTTAACTTCATGACTCTCTGGACAACAGAAGGCCTGCTGCTCACTTCCTGCAGCAGACTTGGCAGCTCAGGCCATGTCCTTCAAGTGCAGTCAGTTGGAGAACAAGCTGCTTGGCTGCAAAACACAATCTTCCACCCTCACTATACAGGGAGCATAGCCGCTTCCATCAAGTGTACCAACATGTACATAATAGAAGTCCCAGAAGAAAAGGAGAGTGATAGTGAAGCAGAATATTTGAAAATATCATGGCCAAAAACTTTCCCAATTTAATGAAAAATATCAGTGTTAATTTCCATAATGCTTAACGAACTCCAAGTAGGATAAACTCAAAGAGATTCACTCCCAGACATATGATCAAACTGTCAAAAGAAAATCTTAAAAGCAGTAAGAGAAAATAAATTTATCACATACAAAGGATCTTCAATAACATTCATGGCTGATTTCTCATCAGAAACTACAGAAGCCATTAGACAGAATACAAGATGACATATTCAAAGTGCTAAAAGAAAAAAAAAATCTGTCAATCAAGATTCCATATCCAGCAAAGCTATGCTTCAATAATGAAAGAAGTTAAAACAGTTCCAGATAAATGAAAACTGAGAGAATTCATCACTAGAAGATCTAGCCTAAAAGAAATTTCAAAAGGGATCTTTCAGACTATAGTGAAAGGAATTACTAGAGTAACTAGGATTCAAATGAGAAGAAAAAAGGCAGAGGTAATTACATAGGCAAGTATAGGAACAGTGTAATTATTTGTTTGTAAGTCCCAGTTTTCTCCTATCTGATTTAAAAGACAATTGCATACAGCGATAATTATAAACCTATGTAGATCACCACAAGATGTATAAATATGCAATCTGTATGCAATAACAGCACAAAGGAAGACAGCATACTTTTTGTAGACTATTGAAACCAGCTGCTATTAATGCAAACTACATTATTATAAGTTTAAGAGGTCATTTGTAATCCTCTGGGTAACCACTGAGAAAATAACTAAAATGTACAGAAAGCAAAGTAAAAAAGGAATCAAAACTGAATACTGCAAAAACCTCAAACATAAAGAATGAGAGTAATGGAGAAACTGAGAAATAAAAATAATATAGGACACATAAAACTAAAAACAAAATGGCATAAAAAAGATCTTCCTTATCGGTAATTTAGATGTAAATGGATTAAAATTTCTAATTAGAAGACAAGGATTTACAGAATAGATGCATAAAATAACTCAACTATATGCTCTAAAGAGATACTTTAGACTCAAAGACACAAGATGAAAGTGAAAAGATAGGAAAAGATATATTATGCAAACAGAAACCAATACATCCATAGACTGGAATATTTTTCAGCTGTAAAAATGAGCAAAGTACTGATTCATGCTACAATATGGATGAATTCTGAAAGCACAGTAAGTGAATGAAGCCAGATATAGAAGGCCATTTATTGCAGGATTCCATTTATATCAAATACTAATGTAGGCAAATCTACAAAGATAGAAAGTAGACTAGCGGTGGGCAAGGGAATGATTGCTAATGGATATAGGGTTTCTTTATGGATGATGAAAATATTATAAAGTTGGCTGTGATAATTGCACAAACCTATAAACATACAAAAAGCATTTAATTGTATAGTTTAAGTGAGTCAATTGTAAGGTATATGAATTATATCCTGACAAAACTGTTTTTAAAAACTTACTGAATATATCCATAATTAATTTTATTACATACAAATTTTATTCTAATAAAATTGATTTCTAAAAATTCTCAGAACAGAAACGGAAACAGATAAATCAACAAGAATAGTTTGAGATTTTCACATACCTCTTTCCAATGACAGAACAAGCAAACAGAGAAATCAGTAAAGATGCAGAAGATATAAACAATACAATTAATTAACTTAACTTCATTGACATATACAGAACATTACAACCTACATGCTGTGGACTGTGCTCTCTTTAAGTACACATGAAACACTTATCATAATGATCATATGTAGAAAGTTTCAACAAATTTCAAAGGGCTGAAATACAGAGAACATTCACTGATTACAATAGAATTAAACTAGAAATCAGTAACAGAAAGAAAAATATAAAATCCAAAATCGAGAATTAAGTAATAAACTTCTAAATATCCACTCTTCAAAGAAGAGATAATAATAAAATTAGAAAATAAAAACATGAAATATCCTAACTGGTGAACTGCAGCTAAAGCAGTGCTTAGAGGAAAATCTAAAGCTCTAAATGTAGATAGTAGAAAAGAAAAATTGAAAACCAAAAGAAGAAACAAAAACAAAAAGAAGAAAGCCTTTCTTCTTTCTCAAGAAGCTAGAGAAAGAACAAACAAAATGTAAAGAGATTAGAAACTTTTCAAAGCAAAAATCAATGAAATAGAAAGCAAACATGTAATTGAAAAAAACCAAGTTGTTCTTTGGTAAAATGAACATAACTGGAAACGGAACCCAAGAAACAAAAAGATCAGGCTGGGGCAAACCCCTGACACTGGTGTCACATATGACTCAAAGCTCAAGCTATCAGTGAGACAGCCGGGGAAGCGCAATGCTGCCCGGCACAACGCGTGGGCCTCAGCAGAGAAGCCTTGGCAGGCCTTCGACCCTCAGCAGAGAAGCCTTGGCAGGCCTTCGACCCTCAGGATTCTGAGTCCTGCTCCATCTCAAGCCAGGAGATTACACGCAGGGCATAGAGGATTGTGAGCAATCAGGAATTCTCCAGGGCCTCAGTGATGGGTGTTTGAAAACACCTATCTAATGCCTTGGTTGTGTAGCTAGCACCCCCACTCCTAGCTGAAGAAGAGAAAGGGAAAGGGGAGAGGAGAGAGAAGGAGGTACTGGCAGGCTGAGAGGTTTTCACAGTATGAAAGCTTTCAGGATCCCTAACTAGAAAAATAAGACTACTTACTGCAAAGTCAAGCAAAATGTTGTAGAATCAAGCCCTACTTGTGAAATATCAAAGCGACCACAGACAGCCAATGTGGCGCAGAGTGAAGAACAGAGAAGCAGATGACATAAATAAAGATGGCAATAGAGATTCTGTCTCCCATTCTGCCAAATGTCACTTTGATGCCGGGAAAAGCAATGGCCTATCTCTTCAAAAGCCAAACATGCCAATAAAATCTCACATTACAAAACATACATACATATACACACGTGCTCATACACACATACAGACAGCAAGGTGACCCAGCACAAAGACCCAGATGCAGACACACAGACACACGCACAGGCAGGCATATGCTTAGAAAAGAGGCACATGCAGACACACACATGGATGTATATTCACGGACACGGGCAAATACACACACAAAAAGGCATACGCTTAGACTAACAAAGATCCACATCCAAATATACACACATACAGAAATATACAGATTCACACACATGCACACTCAGACACAAAAACACTCAGAGAATCACACTTGGACACACACATAAGAGTCCAAAAGACGTTCACTATAATGTCGATGGTTTAACTTAGGGTCATGAAATTGGAACGCTCCTTGCTTTTACCTCTGTGCTACTTAGACCTTTCTACAAGGTAATTATTATGTGGGAAAAAAAAAACAAAGCCCACCAGAGTCCACGAGGGTGAAGAGTGTCCTAGAAGCAGAGGGTGCCTCCCCGGTGGGCTCCACCTGAGGGCTGGATGATGGAAAGTGAGCAGTACGGGCCCAGCCAGCCCTGCCCCAGCCCCCAGGCTCCTCCCTAGTTCCCAACTTGAGGATGGAGAACAGGTCCCGAAGGCCTCCCACTCCACCAACTCTGGGGGCTGGGATGGGCTCTTGTCTCTTCAGGAGACTCATGAAAATTCCATGAGCCATAATCAGAACCTCAATCTGAACAGCTACCTTGATACATACGTTAACAGGAACCAGAAAGCCACGGGTCCCCCCATCACAGACCGGCATTTTATTGTAATTGTCAAGTTTTAATAATGTTCTTCTATTTCTTGGGTTTAAAAATTCACATCTCTGAACATTAATATTCCTGTATTAATAACCCCCCAATTCAGCAACTTTATATTTAACTGCTTATTTAAATGGAATTAATTTGTAACCGATTGTCTTCAAGTACGCAAGGCAATTTAAGTAAATGCCAAAAGATAAGAAATATGCTTATCCTGAACAACCAGCTGATGTAAAATATCGACCATATTTCTCTGTCAGACAACGGCGTGAAACAAAGCGCTCTGAACTGATGGCCCCCGCCTGGGGCTCCCGGGCAGCCTGCCCGCCTCGGAAGGAGCGGTCTCAGGCCAGAAGGATGGCCCCCCACAGATAATCTCGCTCCCTTCAGAGCCGGGGTCTGTCTGTCTCTCAGGAAAATCAAGTCTACCCCCTCAGATTGCTAACAAAGACTCATGTCTGCCTTGGAGCCCAGGCTGCAGGAACCTGCTTCGGCAGGCCTGGTGATACGTGCAGCCCGCGGGAAGAAGCCGTTTACTGCAGAGCTGTCCTCTCCACAGACCAGCCTTGGCCCTGCCCTCGCCAGCACCTGGCAATGAACGCTGGACCCTACCCTGTGTCCAGAGCCCCTGCAGGGCCTGCTCCTCCTGCACCTTCGTGGGAGCTGTGGCCTGGGCCAGAGTCCAGCTGAGCAGGAGGCCGGCCCCCACCCCGCTCCCTTCAGCCCAGCAGAGCACACCCTGCCCCCTAGGAAGGACAAAGCCCCACCTTGCTTTCGCCTCTGTGTGAGTTAAGAGCTCTCTGCGGGAGCATATCATAATTATGTAAAAACAAAAACAAAGCCCACCAGAGCCCATGAGGGTGGGGCGTGTCCCAGAAGCAGACGGCACCTCCCTGATGAGTCCAGGGGCCCCAGGCCATGGGGAGATCCCAGCCTGCCTCTGCCTCCCTGCTCCCCGCTCCTCTGCCGATGCCACCACTGTATTGCCTGGTACAAACCCTGCCGTGGGCAGCAGGAGGCCTGGCCCTGATCTGGGAAGGCTGAGGGAGGCCCAAAGGCTCCCAGGATTAAACCCACAGCCACCCCCGCCTCCGACAAAGTGTCAGGCCTGAGGCAGCCAACCCTGAGGAGCCACGCCTGAAGAGACAGTCACAGGCTGATCACTAGGCTGGACCAGGGCCAGGAGGGTCAGGCATGGGTGGACAGGTGAGGCCACTGTTCTGCCACAAGCTCCCTCCTACCCCAAGTCAAGGGATCAAGGTGGCTGGGGGTGGCCCATTAGGACAAATTGAGAGGCCAGATCCTGAACTTCTGCCAGAGGTCAAATAAGGATCTAAGGTGGGAGGTTTGCAGAGAAGTTCAAAACGGTTAAAAACAAAATTCCAGGAATGAGGCACTTCATTAGGGCAGTGAGAAGTGACCAAGGATAGCAGCAGCTTAGTACTGGAAACTAGGACGACAGCAAGATTCATCTTGCTTAGGAAACAGGCTATTATTATCCCCGAAAACAGCTGGAGAGGCTCGCGGCAGGCAGGTGAACTCGGTCACTGAGCCCCGAGGCTCTGGAGGACAAGGGCCCCACCAGCCCGGAAACAGGGTCCGGGAGGTGGCAGAACTAGAGTGCCGGCAGCGGGCTGGACTGCACCCAGACTCCAGGAATCTGAACATGACTTCTCCATAGGGAAGGCGCTGGCAGGGGACCCGAGGTCAGTGATCACAGCGTGCGAGGTGAGGGCACTCAAATGGAGCAACCCTGGAGGGCAGAGCTACGTGAAGGCTGCCACACTGGGGTGTGGGGCCCAGCGGGAGGTGAGGGGACAGGAGAGAGGTGAGCACTGCAGGTGGGCCTGGGGACCCCAAGGCAGGGAGGGCTCTCACCTGCAGCCAAGTCAGAAAACTCTGCTGCCACATGGGCGTGGAAATGAATCCACCCAGCATGGGGGTGGCACTCAGCCCAGCAGTGAGGGGCCTGGGGAGCAGCCCATAGCTAGCCCCTGTCTGGACTGGACCATGGACTGGAGAGAACTAATCTAGTGCCTGAGAGCGTGTGCAAAGATAAGGCAGGCCCTGGCTCTCCAAAAAGCATCCCACAGTGGGGTGGAGTGTTGGCCGAGCACAGGCTCCTCTGGGCTCTTGGCAGGGACCATGGCGACTCTGGGGGCAGCAGGGAACAGAGGCTGGGTCTCCTCCATGGAGGGAGGGGTCGGTCCACAGCGGGAATCCTCCCAGGGGGAGTGGGCAGGGGGCCTCAGCTTTCACTGCTCACTGACAGTGATGATGTCGCTAGGGTCCCCTGCCTCTCCCCCCAGAAAACTTTAGGGAGTAGCCAGGAGCCACTCCGGCCTTACCACCTGTGCCCAGGGTGCTAGGGAGGCATTCTCCACAGCAGAGACCTCGGCTGAGGGGCTGGGCAAGCAAAGACCCCACAGCCGCGAAGCCCGACAGCTCACTGACATCCGGGAATCTTGTCATCAGAGATCCTAAAGTCCATTGGCCCACTACACAGCTGGGGAAACTGAGGCTTGTAGAGGCACTGGGGCATGATGGGGGTTTGCTCATGGGTAACTGTTTACTAAGCACTGGCTCCATGCCAGGCTCTGGATGAGTGGGGCCTCACTGTATTACGTGGCAAGCCCTCCCTCCTCCCAGCCTGGGGCCCTCCCCACGAGGTAGTGACCCACGCTGAGACCAGAGGGGCCAGCCAGCAGGCCCAAAGATGTTCCATGGTGCTGGCGGAGGCAGGTGAACAGGGCACGGGAGCTCTGGCATCAGGCTATGCTGGGGGACCAGGGGAGGCTTGGGACAGGAAGCAGCCGGCTGCGCCCACACCACCCTCTCAAGGGCCTGGGGAAGAGACAGCGGCTCCGCGGCCAGCATCTCAACGAGCTGGGCTAATCACCGCTGGTGTGGGAGGTAGGCCGCTCTGAGAAACTCCCGAGAGGATGCGGAGATTCATGCAATGAAAAGCAGCAAACCTGATACCCGTTTCCCCTGCCCAGCCGCTCTTATCATTGGGGGAAGTGATACATATTTATGAGCTCATAATCCCTGCTAATCACCCTACATCACACATACGCACAAACTCCCATGGCTCCGGTTCATACATAGTTATAAGGCGCTTCCTCTGCCACCGCCTCAGTCCACCAAAGGAGCCTCAGTCCATCAAAGGACGACAGAGGACGCCCTGGTGCAGAGTACTGGGGGGGGGGGGGGGGGGGGGGGGGGGGGGGGGGGGGGGGGGGGGGGGGGGCTGGGGCCAGAGGAACAGGCCAGCAAGCCATCCACGCTCAACAGCCCCGAGGGGTAGTGCCCTCCTCAAGGGCTCGTTTGCTGCAGTCTGGGGCCCTGCAGATAACCCCCCGTCCCCGCCAGGGCCGGTCAGCAGCCAGCCCAGACACACGAGGGTGGCTGGCTGGCTACATTCTTTGGGGGCCAGGGCGTGAGGGTGGCAAGGCAGGCAAGATTCTGTGCCCAACATCTGCCCTCCTGTGTACAGAGGCCTAAAGGGGGGAACAGGGCTCCAGGGCCCCGCCTGGGGCTAGACTGGGGAGTGAGGGCAGGAAAGGCAGGGGCCCCTGCCCGGGACTGGGGCAGCAGCGGGCACAGGAGAAAGCTGTAAGCCAGACTGGGAGAAGGTCATCAGCCAGGAGTGAGGGGAGGGGGCTGGTAAGAATGAAGACCACAAGGTCAGAGCAGGTCCCTGGAGGGAAAACAGCCGCCCGCTGTGTGTACTGGGCCCGCTGAGTGTGCCCGGTGGCCAGGGCTCCCTAAGCACCCGGTCGCCGGCACTTTGATGATGGAGCTCCGTGGGGAAGTAGCATCGGTCCTTAAAGTCAAACTTGAACTGAATGTAAGCAAATTTTTTTCTAAGCATTTCCTCAAAAGTACCAAATTGAGCCCCTTTCTATAAATATCCTTCTGGTTTTTGTTTTTCTTTTTAATTTTTTGGCCATGCTCTGCGGCATGTGGGATCTATTCCCTGATCAGGGACAGAACCCATGCCCTCTGCATTGGAAGCAGGGAGTCTTAACCAATGGACCGCCAAGGAAAGTCCCCTGCTTGTGCGTTTTGCGTCTAGTTTATATAAATAGACTGGGTCAGGCCTGCAGGGGGGAAGATGTGAGCTGAGGGAGTAGGAAGATGGTTCCCAGGGCCCCAGGACTCACTTGCTGATGCCCTCGAAGGAGGCCTCCCTGCAGATGCTGCCGCTGTCGGTGTTGACGCCGCGCTGGGGAGAGAGACGGAGAGTGAGGGCGTAGACCTGCCACACTGGGCCTTGCGGGACTGGGTTAAGGACCGGGAGCCCCTACCCTGGCCCAGCCAACCCATCCCTTCCTGAAAGGCCAGGCCCCAGCAGAAGGGCAACCCTCCTTTTTCTGCTGTAGCTTGAAAAGCAGAGGAAACCAAGGCCTCCTTCGTCCAAGCACTTTGCTGACCCCAGCTCGGGCTGCCTGGGACCACCTTCGACCACAAGCCCCTGCCCCCAAGTCTGGCCCATCCCCCTTGCACACGTGTGTGTGCACACACGCTCCTCACGGACAGTGTCCCAAGAACACTGTCAAATCTGACCCTGCCAGAGCTGCCGGTGTGACCCAACTCGGAAGGGATGGGACTTTCCGGTGACGCTGGGACTCTGCTACATTCCTCTCCTTTCCCTAGCTGTAAGGAGACTCCAAGTAGAACTCAGACCGGGAAGGAGAGAAAACAAAAGATTCAGAGGAAAATCTGCTATCCCCAGAGAGGCCAGGCCTTTAAAATCCCCTTTTAATTCTTCCTCAAGACCTTCAGGTGGATGTCTTATTGCGTCCCCCCAAATAAAACAAACTGGACCCACTGTGACCACAATCTTAACTTTTCTTCTCAGCCATCAAAACAGCAGGGTGGAAAAAAGAGACCATGTGAAGTGCTAACAAAAACAACTGAGAAAAAACTATTCCTGTAAAAATCAATTAACAAAGCAGAGAAGGGTCACTTTCTGTACACTCTTCATATTGGAAGCTCCCCAAGGCTGAAGAAGTGTACGAAGGCAGGCTTCTTCTCGGAGCTGTTTCACAGCCCCAGCATTCCCACCCTGCCAGCCCGAGGCTGCAGCAGGTCCTCTGTCATTCGGCGCCCCAGGTCCCAAATCTGATGCCACACAGCCCAGCACCTCATGGGCTGATGCAAAGGGTGTGTTTTTCAAATTCTATCAACAATGAGGGAGGCACAGGGTGGAAGCAAATTGATAAACAAACACCGAGAGCTCAACCTGACCCAAATACATCCTCTAGCCGGGTTTTAACTCTTGGAGTATGCACGGCACCTCGTCCACAGTGGCCGCAGGACAGGACGCGGCCCAGGGCGACTGGAGAATGGAGGGTGTGATCCTGGACACGGTGAGTCATTCAGACCGAGGTGTCACTACTGATCACCACTGACTGCTGCTCACAGTCTTCCATGCCACCCCAAGGCCCTGACCTCTGCAGAGTCAAGCAGCTCCCCAAAGCCCCTCCCTGCGCACAGATGCTGCCTGGTCCCTGAACACCAGCCACTTACCAGCGTGAGGAGCACAGAGGGGCTCCGGGATGTCAGGACACTGGCGATCTGAAAGGTCAGAAAGAAAACATCCTCTTTAGTGCCACCACATGAAGCCTGATGGCGGTGACGTACAAGGGTTATTAAGGGCTGACAATTCACACGGATCAAGCACATCCTTCAAACAGGAAACTTACAGAGAATAAGAGACTTCAGAAAGCCAGAGAGCTATCAGGAGGCAGAGAGGGAGACAAGCTTAAACCTGGCACGCTTCCCCATGTGCTGCCCAGCCTCCGGGACCCACATGGACCCCAGCTCTCAACAGCCAGTCCCACTCGCCTGCCAAGGGCAGCACCTCTGTTCATCTGCCTGGTCCCTTGCAAAACACCTGTTCCAGCCAGCTCTTAGGCACCGGCCCCACCTGGCTGTGGTCCCCTGGGCAGACACCCGCCTCCCTGCCCCGATTCATCCCCTTGACCACATGGACTCAGCCACTCCTGACCCCACATCCTTGCTCTCCATCCCTCCCATGGCCCACTCAGGCCCTTGATTGCTGGCTGCTTCCTAGCCAACCCCCTTGAACAACCCCACTCCCACCCCCGCCATGCAGGCTCATCCCCATGCCTTTGCCTGGGCTCTCACTGCTGTCTGGCACACTTCTCCCCATCTCAGCTGCTTCCTCAATTTGTACTCAAGACTTAGGTCCCTGCCCACCTCCCAGGCAGGTTGGTTCACCCCATCCTCTACTGCCCCCGAACAGCCCTCATTCCCCTGGCAACCTGCCCATCACACTGCATCGGCCATGACATCCAAGGGTGCCTGCCACTCCAGTGGGACCACCTGCTTCCTCTCCTGGCTCCACCCCTCAGTCCACTCTGCATCTTGGCCATGGCAGCTCCCACTGTATTTGGGCCCCCTCCCCACGCCCTCACCCTAAACTCTAACACTCTGGCACAGGACGGGAGTTAGGGGGATTTGTTTGTTGTTTCAACTGCTTTATGGAACCGTCACTGACATATTCTATGCTGCACATTATTTGAAGTGCATGTTTTGATAAGCTTTGACATATGTAATACATATGCTTTTTAATACTGAGAGGCTCCCAGAGAATATCTGGAAGATACTGAAAACTATAAAAAAAGATAAAACACACCTACAAAACCATCCCCTGAGACTTTTTACCTCTGCACATAAAAACAGATCTGTAACGACATTTGGATCATATGAAGTTACACGCTTCGCTTATTTCCTGTCATTAAATATTCTTCAAACATGCCATTTTTACCAGTCACTACTGAGGGGGATGGTAAACATCCAGGGAGACCTTGATGATGGCCTGTGTCAGTCACTGCAGACTCATTTCATGTAACCACCCAAGAAACTAGTGCTGCAAATTCAGGTTTCACTGGTGAAAAAGCTTAAGGGGAACTTCCTGGTGACCCCAGAACCTGCAATCCCTGGTCAGGAAACTAAGATCCCACATGCAGGGCAACTAAGCCCATGCGCCACAACTACTGGGCCTGCGCACTCCAGAGCCCTCGCACCACAACTAGAGAGCCTGAGCACCGCAGTGAAAGATTCTGCATGACGAAAGGAAGCGCCTGTGTGCTGCAACTAAGATCTGATGCAGCCAAATAAATAAACACTGCGTGCACACATGCTCAGTTGCCCAGTTGAGTCCGAGTCTGTGACCCCATGGACAGGAGCCTGCCGGGCTCCTCTGGGATTTCCCAGGCAAGAATACTTGAGTGGGTTGCCATTTCCTTTTGCAGGGGATCTTCCCGACCTCAGGATCAAACCCGCATCTCTTCTTGCATCTCCTCCCACGTCTCTTGCATTGACAGGTGGATGCTTTACCACTAAGCCACCTGAGAAGCCCCAAAATAAACAGTAAAATAAAATAAAAAACTTAAGACTTCATCTAACCAGGTTCACAGTTAAAAGACAGCAAAGTGCAGAGTTGCGCCGTGTCCTAGTCTCTTAACAGAGCTGGCATAGTTTATTTACTCATTCCTCTGTGGGCACTTACATTATTTCTAATGATTATGATAAATCATGACAATGGACATCCTGGTATAGAGTCTTTATTTCCTTAAAATAAATTATCTTTAAAAAAAAATTGATTTAGGGAAACTGCTGTCTGACAAGCCCCACACTTTGTCAAGGTTTTGATGAGTCCCGGATGTGTACCAACCACCCTCCCACCAACACTCCATCTCCCCAGGCCCTCCTCGTTTGCTCAGTAACTGCTCTGAGAATGACTGAAGCCTGGCCTCGGAGCTGCACACACCACAGCACGCTGAGTCACTGACACTCCCCAGGCCCTCCTTGAGGAGGGGGCGGCTCATTAGAAGGAACCGGAGCCGTGCTTGTCAGCCCTGGGTGTGTTGTTACGGTGACTGAAGGGTCTACATTCATCAGCGTGGAGCGGGTCTGTCAATTGCAGCAGCAGAGCCAGAGCACGAGCGGGCACTTGGGGATTGTAGGCGCTATTGTCCTTGGGAGAGGGGAGGAGGATGACAAATGTGCTGGCTGCTAGTTTTCTTCTCGGCTGCGACTCAGGACGTGCTGGTGGGGGATAATAGAGGAGAAGGAGCAGACGGATGGAGGAGGTCTGACGTGGCGGGCCGGGTGTCTGACGGTCCTGGCAGGACAGCATCTTTTATTGATCACGACCTCTTGAGTGGGCCCTGCTTACCTCTGCGGCTGTGAAACCTCCCCGAGCCGGGCAGCTGCATCTGCCCTTCCCTGTGGAGACCCATTACTGCTACACTCTCATCGGCACACCCTGATTCCATGCCTCTGAAATTAAGCTGACGGGAGGCAGCTATGCGTCACCAGCGGGAAATGCCACTCCACATACAGGATGACACAACTCTGGCCACACAGGGCCTGGTTTCCATGGAGCAGCGGTCACTGGGGACCCACCAGCTCTCACGAACCAGTGCTGTTAAACACCCCTGCCTAACTTCATGCCACAGCACCTGTTTCCCAGATAGCCTGGCCTGTCTGGCAGGTTGAGGTGGAGAGCAAACACAGAATGCTTCAGAGCCCTGTGGACAAGGATCCTTCCCTGGGGACAGTCAGAGGCTTCCTCTTGCACCCTTGCACCCAAGGCTTCCACCAGGCCTGCTGGCCACTCTTCAAGGGTGATGATCCAGAAAAGGGGGCTGGATGATCCTTGACCAGTACTATCAAAACAAGCTCCTACTGCTCCAGGAAGCTGGGTTCACGATGCAAAAAGCAAAGCTTTTAAAAAAATGAACCTTTATCAGGGCAGTCTGAAACAGGGCTGCACAATGGTTTTTAAATGCAGCAATGCATTTAAAATTTTCAAATTGTTCCTAAAATTTAAATGTGGGGAATGACCATAAACAACATGGATGTGCATCTACTCACGAACAATTGGGGTATCCAGTAACGTGGGGACAGTGTCCCACAGAGCGATCGGGGGCACCCCACTTCCTGATGCCTTTACCCACTGAGGTGGGGAGACGGGGGGTATCAGCCACTGGGATGTCACCAAGGTCTCTTATATCTGAGTCAGTGACCTTGGCAACACCTGTCTGGTGCCACAGAAGAGGACACAAGACTTGCCCTCTGCCAGGCCAGCTCCCATCACCAGGGACACAGCCTCTGCACTGCACCTCGACGGCAATGCCTAGCCACTCTCAAGGTTTTCCTGAGCCCCACCCTCTCAGGGGAGCCACCATTCACTCGACCTTCTCAATAATTAAACTCAGGATCACCTATAGGAGGAGGGGGAACTACATAGCCAGGTTTGCTACATCAGCCACCTGCATGTGGTATCGAATGACAGGCCATGGCCTGGGGTGGGGGCTTCCTGCCTTCTTTCAGAGGAGACAAGTGTCAGCTGCTTCCTGTCTGTGATTTGTGCACACGGCCACGGCTGTCTGAGGGTTAGATTGAGCCAAGCCTCATAGAACCGGCCCAACACAAAGGGCTTCCTGTCACCGTCCGTGATGGGGCAGCCCCGGGCACCTTGAGTGCCTCCCAGCTTAGCCGTCCGTACTTTGGTTGAGTTCCAAGTCAAGCCACAGAAAATCCAAGGCACTTGGGGGCCTTGTCAGCTCTACAGGCGCGTCCAGCAGCACCTGCTCACTTCTGATAGGGCACAGGCGGGGGTGGAGGGTGCACCTCTGGGGTCCACAGGCTCTGAGGTCACATCCAAGTCTGGTACTCCACACTGGTGGGGCTGTGGATGAGGCCCTTCGCTGCTTGGAGCCTTGGCCTCCTCCTTTTATCAGGGTGAGACTCTGGCCCCCACAGCACAGGGCAGAGGGAGGAGGGAATCCATGAGAGTTACTGAGGTGCCTGGAACCCGCAGGTGCCGCCCCAGAGTGAAGCACCTCTCCCCCAGTCCATAAGAGCCCTCGTTTCCAGTAAGATCCACAGGAGAAACAGGCACGACAAAGCCGATGACACTGATGATAAAGGGGCCTGCAGAAAGCTCCCTGTTTTCAACTCCACTGATGCCTTCACTTAAGATTCTGCTTCCTAAACACAGATTCAGAATGAGCTGGTCTGTGGGGCTGTAATCCTAGACCATCATTACAGGCTTTCCTGTCCTGACACGAGACCTCTTCTGTTTTACCTCATCTAGAAGCCAGCTCTCCTTCTCCCCAGAAATCACAGTGTAAGTGGAGCTGAGTTCACCCTCTTCCTGCCACTGCCCACCCCCTGGTCATAGAAGCAAAACCATTAGATTGTGGCTGGGAGGCTCTGACTTGGTGGGCTGAGCCCCAGGACCCCTCCCACGATGCCCACCTCCAGGTTTCACACCCAGGAGACCCGGAAGGTCAAGGTCCCAAAGGGCAATAATGTTACAATGCAGTTTACAAAGGCAGGAGGGACACACCCACCAAAGGAGAGGATGGGAACAAAATGAGAACTAAGCATGGGCATCTCCCCCTGTTCTAACAGCAGTGGAAGTCAGGGGCAGCCGCTTCCAATTGCCTGGACTGCAGACAGATTCAAAGCCCCAGGAAGACAGTTGCATCCCTATCCTGGCCACACACTATTGGCCAAGCACACTGGGAAGAAGATTAAAGCTGGGGGGAGTTCCCTGGTGGCCTAGTGGTGAGGATTCCACGCTTTCACTGCCGTGACCCAGGTTCCATCCTTAGTTGGGGAACTAAGATCTCGCAAACTCTGTGGCATAGCCAATAAATAAATAAAAGTATAGCCAGGGGACCTCCAAGTCCACCCCACCCCACAGACCTCTCGCAACCTGGGGCTTTTCTGACAGCAGCATCTGCAGCTGATGAGGGCCTGCGAGAGGGCCTCCTGACACATGAAGGCCCAGCCGAGCCTGATCAGACCTTCACAGAGATAGCCTCCCCTGGGCAGCTCAGCGGCCACCTCCCAGGTACCAGACGCTTCCGGCACTGCTAAGGGGGCTGGTGGCTGGCCCATGCTGTCCCGCAATATCAAGCCAGGCTGCGGCAGGGGAAGGGGTCAGCCACTACTGACCTCGTCTGTGTACTGGACGTCATCCACAGCGTACTTCTCCTTGAAGTGCTCCTTGGAGTGGATCCTCAAAAGAAGCACAAAGGCCAGGGTCAGGTTTGGCCTTGGCTGGGCCCCGGCTGCCTTCCCACCCCCAAGTCATCCACCCCACCCCATTCCTACCCAATCCAGCACTTGGCACCAAGCCGGTCTGCCCAACACAGACTCAGGGACAGTGGGCAAAGGACACTGGGCCACAGAGAGACCGCTGAACTCCGCCTGACTCCCTCCACCTTCCCAGCTGACCTCTGCTCTTCCTTCGAGTCTGTGACCCTCGCCGCTGGCAGCAAGTAGGGACAACCCTCCCTCCACCCGCCAGGGAGAGTCCAAGGGCAGCCTGTCTGCACACCCTACTCTTTGGGGAGTGAAATAAGCTGCCTCCCAGGCTCCCACGGAGCCTCTTTAAAGGAACGTTTAAAAATTAAAAATTAACATTTTAAAGAAGTCAATAACAGTATTACTCACTGTGATGAGAAACACTCAAGCTTACTCATCGTGCCTAAAAAATCAGCTGGTGAGAAGACAAAGACCCGGAGCGGAGGTGGCTGAGTCGCCCCTGCCCGGCTCACGGTCACGTGTGTGCTGACTGTGGTCATGGCTGTGCTGGGCAAGGCTGGCGGGTCCAGCAAGTGCCACCCCCACCCCCCAGCCTCTTGGTGGGAAAAATGAATCAATGTCACTGCTGGTGACAGAGCTCACATCAGGAGCATTAGCCACCCTGGAGAAGGGTGTCCAACCCAAGTCTAGCATCACACACACACACAATGCACTGCGCCATCCCATGCCTGGGCACTGCATCAGCTCAGGGGTTCGCCCTTCCCCTGCCTGCGATGTGTGGTACTCTAGTCACTAAGTGTCAGATCCAAAGGCGGTCTCAGAGGAAGCAGCAGATGGCTTTTGGAGTGTGTTTCCTGGGCTGTCAAGGATGAGCAGACAGGCAGGGTGAGGTGCCAAGGACAGCGCGCCTGGGAGGCCCACAGGGGATAAGGAAGAGGGCACTTGGAGACAACCACCTCTGAGCAAGCTCCACGCACTTCTGAGGTACCAGCATCACTACCCAGAAAACAGACTCCCATCCCCTCTCTGAGTGGGAATTTTCCTTCCACCCAAACAGGCAGCCCAGCCTGGACTGTGGCCAGGAAACACACAGCATGATCCAGGGACAGACAGGCGGCCTTGGGGATCAGCAGCAGGGCACTCACAGCCCCAGGGGGCAAGCTGGGCAGGGGAGACAGTGGTCCCTGGCAACGGGCAGCTCACTGTCCCAGAACTCTCTTTGCTTCATCTCCCTTCTGGGTTCTCTGACATGGGCAATGGGTGCCAAGCTTCCATCATTAATTAAACTTGCAGGATCCAATTGCATCAGCTTCTGTGGTTGAGACAGGACTCAAAGGTAAATGGCCAAAGTCTGGTGCCTCTGTTAGCATCGACCATAGCAGTTACACGGGGCAGGAACTGATGACAAGCACCCTGTGTGGACACTGGAGGCCCTGGCTCCAAGGCTTACTGCCGAGAGCTCGCTGACCCTTTGCTACTAAGGGGTGACACTCTGCAGGTGACCCTGCAGCCACACACAGAAGCGCAGGCCAGAAGGGCAAGAGGTAGGGACCTTGGCGTCATCACCATGTTCCCGCTGACTGCTGTGACTCCAGCCCCAGCTAAGTACAGACACTCAACATCCTCGGTGGGTCCCCAGTTCACCTGTGGGCCCCCATCACTCCATCTGCTCCAGCTGTGACAGACATCAAAAGCAAACACTCGAAAGAGTCAGGAAGAGCTAAGGGCCTGCTTCCGAGGCGGGCCTCGATGATCCTACAGAGGGGTGTCTCGGCCATTAGCTTGGACACTGACCTTTTCATCTCACCTCCTGTTGGGGACCCTAACCCTCCCAGGTCTTCCAAGCCATCTTACCGCAGGGACACCAGCTCCTGCTGGCCCTGCCCGGGGGCGGGGTGGGGGTGGGAGGGGTCTTGTCAATCAGGATTCAGCAGAAACCCAGGAGATTTCAGATCTGGGAACATCTCCATGTATTCAGCCTGAGGTCAAAGTTAACAGGGAGGAACCGGTGGAGGGGGGCGGAGGAGGGAGTAAAGGAAAGAGGAGCACAGCAAGCTGTGACCCATGGGTGGCCCAGGGCTGTGTGCTTGCCTGTCCACCCCTCACCTACCAGCCACGAACCAGCCCACTTGCCCGGGAGCCAAGGAGCCACGAGCAGCCAGCCAGCCCACGGGAGAGGCAGATGCTGCTGCTCTGATGTCCAGGAGGAAGCACGTTGGGAAGTCAGCCCCACCAAACGCCCTTTGCCCACCTCAACAAGTCCAGAGTGCACATGGGCCTCAAGGGCCTCGAGTCACCCAACTAGCCACAGGCCTGGCTCTCAGCAGGAATAACCAACTGCATCGTCTCTGGCACTTAGCATGTCACTTCTTCCTAAAGGATAGGGATAGTTAAGTTGGAATAGTACTTATTTTTCATGTTTTGGGGCCAATTCTAGTAAAAATCATTTAAATGGCACCGTAAGAGATAAGTGTGCCAGACCACCATGTCACCCAGCCACCAGAGGGACTGACAGGAAAAGGAGTGGCGTGTCCACATGAGCCCTGCAGGAGAGGTCACTGGGCAACCCCGTGCCCACCGAGCGCTGGGCCGGCCGCGGCCACACGGAGAGCTGCACGCTGCCCGGACTGGAGTCTGCAGTCCAGCAGGGCAGCTCAGGCCAGATCTCGTCATATGGGAGATCCACGTGGCAGCAACTGGATGCGAGAGAGTGGGCCAGCAGGGAAGCCAACCCCACCCCAGGAACTCTCCCTTCAAAAGGAAAGGGGCAACCTGAATCTCCCACAACATTGTTAATCAGCTATACCTCAGTGCAAAATATTTTGGGTATTAAAAAATTAAAATTTAAAAAAAATGTACAAAAAAGGAAGGGGAAGCTCTGGCAGGAGAGAGGAGGCAGGACCCCCTCTCAAAAGGGTTCACATCTTCAGGAAGGAGCCGGTGTCCGCGGCCCCGGCCCATGCAGGCCTTCTCCACTGGTGACTGGGCCCAGCAGGTGACAGGGGAGGCCTCTCCTAGAACTTAGAGTCAGGGCGGACGCAGTGAGAGCCAACACCCTGTGCGGGGCCTCCCCTGAGAAGGAAACTTTAAACTAACGCCCACGGGGCAGACACAGTGAAACCCTCTAGAAAATAAAATTTCCAAGCACAGGTCTAGCTGGCGAGCTGACCACCTGCATGTGGCTAATGAACCAGTAACAGGGCCAAATCACAGCTGTCAGCATCCATGTCCAGCAGCCGGAGCCTGCCTGCAGCTCTTCCCCTCCTGCTCACCACCTAGCGCCCCGCACCAGCTCCAGAATGAAGGTGGCAACCACGTCGGGGTTCTATTAGCTTGAGAAAGAAGAGCAGGACTCTCCAAAGTGCGGGTCACTGATCCTGGGGGCAAGGCGGCAATTCTCAGAGAGGCTGGTGCAGGGAGCAGAGGTGACAGACAGGAACCTGGCTGAGCGTCCTGGCAAAACCCCTTGCCAGGCCTCAGGCTGCCTGGGGTCAGAGCCAAAGGAATTCCCTCGGTCCTCCTCCTCTGCGAGGCCTGCACCTCTCATCACTATCCTGAAGACAAGGGAGCCAGGACCAGGCCACCAGACAGGCTGAGGCAGCCGTCATCCTGTGACCCAGCTGTGTGTACAGGGTGGGGGGGGCAGAGGCTGGGTGAAAACACCCCACACCCCCCTCATACGCACCACACCACAACCATACAACATACACACACTGCACCACACATACTGTGCCACACCCCACTCCCATGTCATCCACCCTACACATACATATACATACACACCACCCTAACATATACCACACCACATATACCCCCTATACGCCCCACACACAGACCCACACACATCACACATGCACACATCACACACACCACAGCACACAGCACATACACTTCAGTTCCCACACCAGGAAGCGCCATGTTCAGGGCCTCAGCCCTGCAGACACCTCCCTCCTCCCTACAAACCCCAGGCCAGCCACACTCTCTCACGTTCAAGCCCGAGGTCTCAGCCAGGAGTGGGAGCGGAACACAGCCAGGCTGCCAAGGTCCTAGAAGGGGTCCCCCAACCTGGCCCAGAGTCGTTCGCCCTCTATCCATGCTGAAGCTTCCCCAAGGGGCCAATTTCCCGCCTGCTCAGAGGACCCCAGACACCCTGGGGGCCAAAACTGCCATCAGCTGAGCGGATTCTGACGGAAATGACAGGAAACACTCTCACATCAAAAAAACCACCAGACTTGTACAAGCAAAGATGCCAAATAAAAACAAAATAGAAACTACCACATTCCCGTCCCCACAACGGCCTGGGCTGAGTGAGGAACAGCCTGAGCCACCGGCTGCCCTCGGGCCCCTCGCGTCTGAAGCCTTGATGACAGGACAGGCTGTTTACACAGGAAGCGGCAAATGTGGAGACGGGGGTGCTGTTTCCCTGGGCGACTTCGGATTGCAGTATCTGCCAGCAGAATTTTCAAAAGCCATCGCAGAGAGACTCGGAAGGAAGCTGAGGAGCTGAAGGTCAAACGTTCAGGCTGGCGGGTTTTGATCACAAAGGCCAGGTAATCCCGCCAGCCTCGCTCCCGCCCTATTGATCAGGAGTGTCTGATCAGCTCCGCACATCAGATCCAGCCACTCCCCACTCCAGCCCCAGACAGACCAACCCTTCCACTACCCTGTGCCCGACATGCCGCCTTCTCTCCCGAAGGCTTGGGACACGTGGACTAGTAGAAGGTCACACCAGAGCAGAGGGAGGGAAAGGCCAAATGGGGTAGGCATGGAGGGGAGCCAGGTCTGCCAGAGACAAGGGGCTAGCTCTCTGCTGTGAAGCCAGAATGCCCTGGGGACCGGCCTGCTCCGTCTGGCCTGCCCAGACCACCTGGAGCCTTTCCGACAGGGAGACGCGCCCTGCAGACTCATCTGTACCCTCCAAAATCCACACCACACAGTCAGCTGCCCTGGTAAAGCAGGGACAGACCAGAGAAGAACTTTTTAACAGCAGCTCTGAAACGCAGCCATGGTCAGAGTGCAGAAGATCATTCCTGTATTATTGAAGACTATGCTCTAGAACTGGAGAAGGCAATGGCACTCCACTCCAGTACTCTTGCCTGCAGAATCCCAGGGACAGGGGAGCCTGGTGGGCTGCCGTCTATGGGGTCGCACAGAGTCTGACAGGACTGAAGCGACTTAGGAGCAGCAGCAGCAGCAGCAACACCATGCTCTGGAACAGGCAACCGCTAACAGCTGCTTCCTGACCAGTCAGGTCCAGAGTTTTAAACCCTCATGTTAGGATGTCCCTGGTGGTCCAGGGGTTAAGACTCTGCACTTCCACTTCAGGGGGCAAGGGTTAGATCCCTAGTCGGGGAACTAGATTCCACATGTCATGCCAAGCGACCAAAACAAAACCCCCCAAATGCCATTTGGCTGTGGGGAGGCAGGGTGAGACCTGCTCAGCTGTGTGGAGTCCCCAGGGCCAGGAGGCACACCCTGGAGGATGTCCACCCTACCCCGTGGACAGGTACTCCCTGACTTCTGGCAAGTCAGCCCTGGGTAAGCAGCATCAGTGGCCAGAAGGGGGGACGCCCTCAGAGCCCCGCCACGCCTTCTGATGGAAACTCACCACTGTCCACACCCACGTCTCACGGGGCTGCATCTCTGATGCCCTGGGCGTCTCAGCACACCTGGGGCCAGGAGGCAGGGCCACGGGGAGGCTGAGAGGGTGGGAAGGCCAAGGCCACGGGGGCCATCCAGGCACAGGGGCCCCGGACACGCCACTGGCAGGAAAGGCTGAGGCTACAGCTTGGTGATCACCTCAGGGTGCAGGGAGGGCTCTGGGAGAAGCTTCTCACCCAGACCAGATCTAAACTCTCACCAGGAAACTCCTGCAGTCACCAGGGCTTCGTGACAAGCCACCCTGACCCATAGGGGAGTAATAAACCATGTACCACGCCCACAGACCCTGCAGGCTGGGGGTCAGGACAAGAGTCCCAAGAGAGCTGGGGCTCCAGCGGGGGGTGCTGGCTGACAGCCGGCTCTGGGCCCTCCACACAGTGAGTCTGGGTTCCTCACCACGTGGCAACTGGGCTCAAGGAACGAGAGCCTGATGGAAACTACAGCACAATTTACAGTCTAGCCCCAGAAGTCACAGGCTCTCCTGGGGGCTCAGATGGTAAAGAATCCGCCTGCCATGTAGAAGACTTGGGTTCAGTTCCTGGGTTTGAGTAGATCCCCTGGAGAAGGGAACGGCTACCCACCCCAGTACTCTCGCCTGGGAAATCCATGGACAGAGGAGTATGGAGGGCTACAGTCCATGGGGTCACAAAAAGTCAGATACAACTGAGCGACTAACACTCACTTCACTCAGAAGTCACACAGTGACCCAGCCACGTTTATGCATTGAGGCCGTGACCCAGGTCCTGACCAAGCCAGGCAGGAGGGAAACGATTCCAACTCTCCATAGGGAATGGCCATAAATACTATGGACATCACAAGCTGCCTGTCCCCAGCATCATCACTGCCTCACTCCAATGCCACACCACAGTGACCATCCCACAGTATAACCACCGCACAGTGACTGACTAAAGCCCTGGTGATGCCTCATGAGCAGCACCGTGGCTGTTCCACGGATAAGGCATTGGAGGCTCTGACAGTGGTCAGACCCGCTCTCCGGAGAAGCCCACTGAGGTTGGGGGGCCCTGCCCTGGCCCTCTGCACAGACGCCTCGTCATTCAAACCAGCCACAGATCCGCCAGCCAACCTGGCAATGAGCGTTGGGACATGAGGCAGTGAAGGCTGCAATTTGTATATTAGCCCAGAATAAGCACTCTCCTGGCAGAAATGACATGCTAGAAGGTGGAGAGCATCTAGCAGAATTCTCTGATCACCCAGTTAAGTACAGCCTCCACCTCAGCACCCTGGAGTCGGCAGGAACAGCTCCTGGGAGCAGCGGATGTGGCCAAGGGTCCTGACACTGGCAGACATCTGATGAGTGTGGCAGCCTCTCAGCCTCACTCAGGCCTCTGGCCCCAAGCTTATCACACAGCATACCCCAGAGCATGACCCTGTCTCCCAGCTGAGCCACCGGAGGCAGGGCCTACATCCTCGGCCCCTCATGGCTTAGCCCAGAGGCCAGTAGATGGGAGGCAACCCGTGACATCATGCAATCCGTGACAGGCCTCAGAGGAGGACCCCTGGATGTCCTCCCTGGCCAGAGCCAACCCCAGCACACCAGGGTGGTGCCGCCTCCCATGGATGCTACACAGGAGTGAAGGTCCCCCCTGCCCAGAGCCAAGGCCTCAGGAATCTCAACACAGCCGGGAATCTGGAATCTCAGTATTAACAAACACCACCTCCAAACAAACGTGAAAAGTCTGCGGCTCCTGCTCTGACACTCCTTCCCATCCAAGGGCACTGGGCTCCAGCCCAGAGCAGGCTGTTAATACGCTTGCCCACTAAGCCTTGCCCCTTGCTGACCTTCCCCTGTTGCCACTCACAGGCCAGGCAGTGACCCCGCTCCCAGCCCGCCAGTGGCCAGCAGGCACGCTCACAGCCCCCAGCCAGTGGCCAGCAGGCACGCTCACAGCCCCAGACTGCTCCTTACTTGCCCATCCAGGTGGCATGGCTGGGAGGAAGCCTGGGCACGAAGAGAGTGGCCGTCCCGGTGTCCACGTCGATCACGCCGTAGCAGCCTGGCTCGGTGACACCAAACGTCCAGTGAAAGAAGGATTCCTGTGGTGGGAACAAGGACACAGGTCACCCAGTCGGCAGGACAGAAACTTAAGGCGCAAGGAGAGAGGTGGGGAGTCTGACCGAGCACCTTCCTTCCCACACCCCAGAGAGGAGACTCAGGCTCCCCGGCTCTTGAAGTCGGACCTCAGTCTCACACCGCCCTGCACCTCAGCACTGTGCCCCCCACTCCAACCAACTGCCATCTTCTCCTTCCTCCTGGCTGGCTGCTCGGACCCCGCTTCATGCCCGTGTCCCAGGCCCACCCGCCATCCCTGCCTCCCCGCCACAGCCCTCAGGTCCCAGACAGGACAGGTTAAAACTCGGGTTCCCAAGAGCATCACAGATCTGGCAACGCCCTACCTGCATCCTCCTGTCCCTCTCCACCTCTCTGCCACCCCCACTGCCTGCAGGCAGGCAAGGTTCCACCTTGACTTAAGACGCCCAGGCCAGGCATCTGCTCAGAAGCAGATTCCTCCATTTAGGACTTCTTCCTTCCTTCTCCCGCCCCCGGGGCAGCTGATGACTTCAGTGTTTAGCATTAAACACGGAGCTAAAATAGCGTTGTAAAGGTATGAAGTGGAGGAGGCGCTCTTCTAAAATTAATCTTGCATAAAACATCAGTAAGGGAGCCAACAGCTGAATTTAGGAGACTGGTTTTTAAACCACAGACTATGGAAACCTCAAGAAGCATCAGGACAAGGCAGAGAAAACTTATTTAGACCTCCACGTCTCCAGCAACCCAGGGACGGCAGGAACGAAGAGGCAGAGGGAAGCCCTCCAGTAGGAGACACTTTCTGTGGAAGGGGCTGCGTGCGCCATGGCTCCCAGCAGTGGATCTAGGCCTGTGCCTCGAAGGGTAGACACTGTCCAGCTGCGGAGGCCACGCTTTGCTGCCTGCTCTCCACACTCGGCTCCCTTCCCATTCCCCTGCCTGCTCCCTGACCTGGATGCTGGACAGCCATGTCCTCTAGGCCTTGCCTGGCCCCAGGGAGTTCCCAGTGCATCAGACCCCTGCTCTGGGAGACTTGGAGTCAGCAGATGGGTTCTAATTAATCCCAGCTCCCCCTCTGGCAAGTCATTTCCCGCTGAGTCTATTTCCTCATCTGTAAAGTGGGGGCAGCCTAGGGCCCCCTGGGTGAGTCTCTGATGACTGTCCTTGTTCCTGTCCCTGGGAACTGAGTGATGCCAGAGGCCATCACACCCAGGCTGGCTTTCTACAGCTTGGCCACCCACCGCCATCCCCCAGGGTTCTAGAACTTTGAGGAGCCCCTGGATCACTTCCCAGGGGAGGAAACCAAACCCAAGGGGTCAGCACTGGCCAAGCTGGGATGAATGCCAGGGCACTGGACTCCTGTTCAGACCCTGCTCCCACGCCTCCTCCTCCTAGGACCTCTGTAGCACCAGTCCATTCTCCTTGCTGTGGTGAAATCTGGTCACAGGAACTCGGCCCTCCCCAACAGCACCTCTCCCAGCCCAGGGAAGGCTGCCCAGCCCACCCTCTGGGGTCCAATCCTGTGGATACCATTCCCCCACCTAGAACACCGAACCCCAGCTCCACCTGTCAGAATTCACACTGGCCTTCAGGGTCCATACCCAATACTGCCTCCTCCAGGAAGCCTTGCCTGCTTGCTCCCCAGGAACATATCCCTCCGTACTCTGATCTGAGAGAGCAGAGGCTGATTGGTGACAGCTCTGCCTCCGGAGTGGGGGCCCCCCTGGGGACCTCAGCCTTGGCCTGCCTTCAGAGAACCTCCTCCTGGTCCCTCAGGAGGGCAGAGTTGCCCAGACCCACCCGGCCTGGTGCTGGAGGAGGGCAGACGGCCTACAGGAGGCCCAGCGCACACCCAAGAGGCGGGAAGCTGCTGGCAGGGCTCACCTGGCGGAAGATCACCCCGGTGTCGGTGCAGTAGCGCTGCGTCTCCTCGCCGCCCTGCAGCACCACCGCAGAGCCCGCCTGCACCGCCGGGTTCTTCCGTAGCCGCTCACACAGGCGCTGCCTGTTCAGCGCGAAGAGTGCCAGCGGCACCTTCAGGGTTTCGTTCCCCAGCCAAAATGAGGGTCTGCAAAGACACAAACAGGCTTCTGTTAGCACCGCCAGGCACATGCCCTATGCACAGTCTGGGGCAGCCGCAGGGCCCAGCCTGGCACCGGACCCCCATTAGCACGTGGCAAGCTGATCCAAGCTCGACCTGTGCGTGATCCAGAAGTAGCTCCTTGCCGGGCCACCGGTGGACTACAGGGGCTGTCAACCAAACTCTCCCCTCCTGGCCCTGAGCGCCAGACAAGTGGGATGAGGGGCAGCTGGGTCTGTTTAACCAGCAGACAGATGAGGCCACCAAGGGAAACTCTATAATGGTGCCCAGACACTCCCTACCCTCCAGTTCCTGCCTTCAAGGAGCTTCCCATCCATGTGAGATGTTTTCCCAGAGGACACTGGATCCCTGCCCATGTGTCTGCAGGCTGCATCTGCTCTGTAGGTCACAGACCCGGCAGCCCGGGTTGTTTCTCACCTGAGCTGGGACACACACACAGACACACACACAGACACAGACACACACACACACACACACACACACACACACACAGACACACACAGACACACACAGCACTCAGCACCAGGCACTGAGCCGAGCCAGGCCTGTATGTGCCAAATGACTGAGGGGGAACCATGACAAGATGGATCCGGAAGTTTTGGCCTTTGGGCTGAGGCCTCCCCTCCACCTGGGCGTGGCATGAGCCACCCCTCAAGTTTCTCCCCACCCCCAACCCCCTGCGCTGCTCCAGCATCAATTTTCCCCTCTGGGGATCATTCTCAGCATTCAGAAGTACAGGAACCTCACCCATCTTTAAAATAAATAAGTAAAAACACGCCCCTTGACCCCCACACCCACCAGCATCTACTTCTCTCTCTCTCTGTGCAGTAAAATCCTCTGAAGAGTCACACAGCTGTTCCCCATGTCCTGGCCGCCCCAGCGCACTTAGAACCCAGTGCAGACTTCCTCCCAGCCACAAGGCGCTGAGGCGGGCCACACAGGCATCGTACTCTTCCCTAAACCCCAAGAACGCTCCCCCCTGGGGCCTTCCCGTTCCCCGTAAGGAACACCCTCTCCTACTGCCGGCCAGGGTCATGTTCTCGCTTCATCCAGGCCTCTGCGGACATAACCCCTCTTCGGGAAACTTTTCCAACAGCCCCACCCAAACCATCCACTGCTCTCTTCCCACCTCTCGAGAGCACGCATCACTGTCTGATAGTATATGTTTACTTGCTCGTTGTCTCCCCAGGTAAAATGTAAGCTCCATGAGGGTGGGGACCACCTCCTTCCAGGCCCCTAAAACAGTGCTTATGCGTGCATGCACGCTAAGTCGCTTCATTTGTGTCCGACTCTTTGCAACCCTGTGGACCGTAGCCCACCAAGCTCCTCTGTCCATGGGATTCTCCAGGCAATACTGGAGTGGGGTTGCCATGCCCTCCTCCAGGGGATCTTGCACACCCAGGGATCGAGTCCAGGTCTCTTACATCTCCTGCACTGGCAGGTGGGTTCTTTACCACTGGCGTCACCTGGGAAGCCCAAAACAGCGCTGCATGAATGACTAAATGGAGGAAGGGCAGTCCCAGTGAGTGGGCTGGTGGCCAGCAAGGTCGGGGCCAGAGGGCAGGAGTTAGGCAGGGGCGTGTGACCTGTGCGGAGGGAGGCCCTGCAGGCCCTCTGGCCAGCGGAGGTCCAGGAGGGCAGGGACGGCCCAGAGAGAGGGGGCGCTGCCTGGGGCTGCAGTGAGAGACGGTGCTCACGGGTGAGGGCCGCCTCCGGCCACTAGAACGGAAACCCCACGAGCCCAGAGAGCTGGGTCTGCTCTGGTCAGTGCCGCCCCACACCAAGCTCTGTGCTGGGCACGTGGCAAGTGCTCAATAAAGCTTTGCTGAGTGAGCAACTGTCACAGTCTGGGGCCACCCACACAGCTGTGCAAAGCTGCCATTTCAGCCCCAGAGGGGAAGGAAGCCCCACCCTTAGACCAGCCTGGCCAGGAAGGGTAGAGAGGTCCTGCCCACCCAACGTGCTGACAGGACCAGAGCCTCCCTGGGCACGGCCTTCCCTCACCCTCCCAGGAGGGTGGACCCAAGGGGCCAGGGCTTCCTCTCAGCCAGGCCACTTGCCTGCCATGCTCAGCACCTGGATGAAAGGAAGGGGTGACGGCTCACAAACAGGCCGGCATCCCAGCTGTCAGGAACTGAAAGTGCAGCTGCCAGCACCCCTGCCCAGAGTCCCCTGTGTTCCCCCATTCTTTCCCCTCACTCAGCAAAGCCCATGGGGTGGGCTCAGGGAAGAGCCTTGTCTCTCTGGACTCCCAACAGCACAGAAGGGGCAGGACCGCTGCAGAGGCCCCGGCCAAAGCTGCCTAGACCCATGCAGACTCAACAGCACCAGTGCCTAAAAATGCCCAGCCTCGGCCCCCAGACTGCAGAGACCGCCCACCTCAGCTCCCCCCACCTCATCCCCGCCACCTCCCTCCTTAAACATACCAGGTACCAGTTGCCCAGGTGGCTCATGGTAAAGTGTCCGCCTGTGATGCAGAAGACATGAGTTCGACCCCTGGGTTGGGAAGCTCCTCTGGAGAAGGAAATGGCAACCCACTCCAGTATTCTTGCCTGGAAAATCCCATGATCCCATGGATGGAATAGCCTGGTGGGCTACAGGCCATGGGGTCACAAAAGAGTCGGACATGACTTAGCAACTAGACAACAAAACGAGTTGACACAGCATTCCCCACCTGGAAGGCTCTCAGAAGGGCTAGGCGTCATCTTATCTGGGCTTTCCTGGTGGCTCAAACGGTAAAGAATCCACCCACAATGCAGGAGACCTGGGTTCAATCCCTGGGTTGGGAAGATCCCCCTGGAGAAGGGAAAGGCTGCCCACTCCAGTATTCTGACCTGGAGAATTCCATGGATGGAGGAGCCTGGAAGGCTACAGTCCGTGGGGTCAAAAAGAGTCAGACACAACTGAGCGACTTTCACTTCATCTTATCCAGAACTCCTCAGGGCACCTGGACAGGAGTTTTCTGGCCCAAGGGCCGAGCAGTCCAGGTCAAGACAGGAAACTTGACAAGCTACCGTCCCTGGGAGCATGAGCTGCTGCTGCAAAGGAAATCTACAATACTACCTAATCCTGCATGGGCTCAGCCGGAACAGAGAAAGGCAGCCTGGCCAGAGCTCCTGGGCAGGGCTGACGGCTGCAGTCATTTATTACTGCAGGGCACCTCAGAATCCAAGGGTATAGAGACATGCCCTTTGATTTCTCATGGCATAAACCAACCCTCAGAGGGAATGTTGGGCCCAGAGCCATCGCAGGTGGCTTCTCCCTGCAAGTTCAGCAAAAGCAGCACTAATAAAACATCCCCACCTGGTTTCTGCTGGAGCTTTTGCTAACTGGCACCTGGAATCTAAAAGGCAAAAGCCAGGTCATCTCCAAGTCCAAGTGTAAATAAGGCACACTTTACTGCAGGCAGCCAAGGGCACAGGCAACGCCCAGGGAAGACAGTAGGGCCTGGTGGATAAAGACTCCAGGGTATCAAAGAGACCCACAGAACAAGCTCCAGCCCTCATGGGCCAGCCCACCCCCTGTCAACAGCCAGAGCCCAGGAAACAGCCAGGGACCTGCCCCCATGGAAGGTGTGACCCTGATGCCCGGGAAGGCCTCTCCTGTCCCCCAAATCAGCACCGGGCCACCTCTCCTTTCCCTCAGTGGCTACCTGCTGGGCCCTTACCCAAGGGACTAACGCACAGAGTTTACGGACTCCACCTACCTAAGTGGGGAAAAAAGTTACATCTTTATTTTCTCTAACCTCTCTTTCAAATTAACATTTTCTTCAGTTACTAACATAAGCAACAAACCACGACAGTATCAGCAGAGCGTGAATCTATGAACAGAAATCAAAAGTATTTTCATGTCACCTTATTGATGTTCCCGTATCTCAAGATTACCACTTTTACTCATCACTACTTCAACATTAAGGTTAGACCTGCTGCTTTTATTTAATGTGTTAATAAAGAAGCATATATTACTATACCACACATTTGTTTCCTAACATCTTAGTAACTGTGTTCCTATATAATTGGTTCTCCCTGTACTCCTCTGTAATTTATTTCATCATGTTTTTGTTGTTTAGTTGCTCAGTCGTGTCCAACTCTTTGCAACCCCATGGACTACAGCATGCCAGGCTTCTATGTCCATGGGATTTCCCAGGCAAGAATACTGGAGTAGATTGCCATTTACTTCTCCAGGGGACCTTCCCGGCCCAGGGACTGAACCTGCATTTTCTGCATTGGCAGGCAGACTCTATCACTGAGCCACGTGGGAATCATTCTGGGAGGGATAAAAAGTTCTCATGGATGTCCATGGGGTCCATAGCACGGATGAGGACAACATCCTTGCCCTGTGATGTGACACCACTTCTGAATGGGGCCATACTGCTAAGCTCCCAGCAAGAGAGGCCAGCCAAAGACTGGCCTAATTCCTCAGCCACAGTCTCCAGCTCAGGTCAGACACTGAACCCTCTGGCTGGCTGACAGCAAGGCCGACCCTCTCACCCTGGCTGACGGGGCCTCCCAGCAGCTGGCCGGCATCTCCCACCCTGCCTACCCTTCTCCTGAGGGTGAGCAGGGCTAAGCACACCCAGGGACCTGTGTGGAGGCAGACCAGGCCTGAGAAAGGGCCTCGGAGGGCAAAGGGGCACTCATTGGCCAGTCTGCCTCCCACAGACCCACCCCTCATCCCAGCCGCCAAGGTCAGCTCGTTGCCTCTTCTCCAAGAGCACAAGGTTCATATCAGGGTGGAGACAGGCTCTGATCCAGAATCTGACTCCTCCAGATACTTGCTCTCCAGAAATGCTGACTCCAGTGTGACCTATGACCTTATAGGGACACATCCAAGACAACTCACCTGCTGCTCCTCGCTGGGCAAAAGCCCTCTGGGCAGCAGCCCCTTCATCCCGAGTGTCACTCAGAGAGTTAAAGATATCCCTTCATCCTGCTCAGCATGCTGTCCCCACTCCCGCCCACAGCTCCCTTCCTCAATTACTGAGGGCTCCATGGAAAGCAGGATGGCATGCTGAACTAACATAGAGAAATCATTAGGTACCACGTCACCCAGAACCAATCACAAGGTGGCCACGGGGCCCTGGAGACACACACTGAAGTAGTCCCTGGGCTTAAGGATGCCGGCAGAGGCATGAAAGGGAGCAACCCCTCACCTGACCACTATGGGCAGGCATGCAGATGCAGAAAAGCATCCTGCCAGCAGGGAAAACTGGGATTCTCTGGAGTTCTGAGAAGGAAACTTTGACTAGAGGTCCAAATCAATGAGGCGGGGGGGTGGGGAAGGAGGTCAGGAAAGGCTTCTAAAAGGAGGAACCACCTGAGCCGAGCCTGCAAGTGTGAGAACAGTATGTGAGAGGATGAGGGCGGTCCAGGGCCAGCCAGTGAGTGGGCAGAGGGAGGAGAAAGGAAAAAGCCATGAGGGGTACCGATTCAGCAGCTCTGGCTACAGCAGAGCAGTCTCATCTCTACTCAAGGAGAAGACACCTTCCACCAAGTGTCATGGGATGGACGGGGGTGTGGAGGTGACTTCACAGCAGACCCTCTGGGGGCTGTGGGACCCTCTGTCTCAATCTTGAAGTCCTCGCCCAGGCTGGTAGGACAAAGCAGGATCAACCCTGAAACACTCCTCAGAGGAGCAGTTCAAGTTTCCAGTTGAACCTGAGATACTACCTTAGGGCTTCCACTGCTCTCCAGATCACATGGAGCACAAACCAGCACCTGGGTCTCCTGGCCTCCCAGGGCCCAGGATCTGGAAGGACTCTTGTTGTTTAGTCACTAAGTCATGCCCAATTCTTTGAGACCCCATGGACTGTAGCCCACTAGGCTCCATAGGGTTTCCCAGGCAAGAATACTGGAGTGGGTTGCTATTTCCTTCTCCAGAGGATCTTCCCAATGCAGGGAGCAAATCCACATCTCCTGCATTGGCAGGTGAATTCTTTACCACTGAGCCGCCAGGGAAGCTCCATGTTCAGGGAGGGCTCTATAAGCAACCAAATTCAACTGCTGGGGAGACTGTAGCTATGACTTGGTGATGCGGTGCCTCATTATGCCTGATGCTCCGATATGCTCTGAGTATGTCTGGGAACCTTGAAGAACTATAATGACAGCAGTAAAGCCATTCTTCAAGATCCCCAGACATACTAGGACACAGCTTTGCTGGAAACACACTCAAAGCCTCTTCCACCTAAGGAAGTTGCTGGGTTCCAAGTGTCCAGCAGGGCAACCAACACCAGCCTGGGGCGGTTCTTGCCAAGGAGGGCCTATCAAGCTCTGGAAGCTACCTCTCAGGTCTCCCTCCCCATTACCCACCTCTCCAAGACCTCTGTCACTCAGCTTTTACTGCACATGGCTCAGAGAATCAGCTTTGCTATAAAGGCCTTCCCTCCAGGATTCAGCCAGCTCGAGGCTCACGCCCATCCAATCACCAGCCTGGCTCACTGCACCTTTGGTAGCACAGACCTCAAACCAGCATGCAGCCCTGAACCCAAATGTAGCAACTGGAACTCCCTGTGACCACATGGTGGCCCAGATACAATGGTAACAGAACCACATCTGGGCACGGGCCCACACCTACTGCTCACTGTGCGCTTTAAGACAGGGCCACAGGCTGGGTTCAAGGGTCTGACCCTGGATTCCATGACATTCATGTGAGACTTAGTTATCTGCCTGAAGGGTACTCAAGGACTAGCACAAATGCCATCCAGGGAGTGAAGGCCATCCAGGGAGTGAAGGCCACCCACACTCTACCCTGAGCTCAGAACCGTGCACGTCCAAGGCATCAAGAGGCAGACAGATGGATGACATCTACCCAGGTGGCCCGTGAACACCTAAGGGTAGGCCCAGTACTCTTTCTGGAATACAGCAGGGTCCTATTACGTGTTTGATTTGTAATAACGTGTTTGTTTGTCCTAAGCTCTCCCAACATCGGGGGCCATTTTCTGTTGCCATTCTCCCTACCTTCCAAAGAGAGAAGCCCATTTAGTCCACCAGTTTCCCCATTCTGATCTCAGTTCTGGCCTGGCATCTAGAGCAATGCCTTTGCTCTATCTACCACACCCCTTTCCAGCCCCAGCATCTCCAGGTCCAGGTCTTGCCCTAAACTCACAATAGCTCAGGAAATAGTTATCTAAAAGGCAGAACTCACCCATAGCTCAGAAGATAGTTATCTAAAAGGCAGATCTGAGCAGATTAAAACCCTTGGAATGTCCCAGTCCCTTAGGACAAAGTCTAGAAAAGCCAGCTGAGACACCGTGTCCTCCAGCACACGGACACACTCCATTGTCCCCTGTGCCCAGAACACTCTCAACCTTTGTTTGGAATGTTCCTTCATCTTGGACACTCTCCAATGCTTCAGTGAGCCCATCTGTCCACACTTCCTTCCACTAGGACCACTCACCATTCTTCTATTGGGCAGGCTTTATGAGGCATGTATGCAAGGCAAATGAGGCCCAGGGGTGAAGGAGACAAAGGCCCTGACCTCGCACTCTAAACGGAGAGAGGACAAGAACAGGTTCGTTGGGTTGCTTTTTTTTTAAGGTACTATATTATTAACCAAGTGGTGCTAAGAGTGGGAAAGGTGCTTAGGGAAGGCTTCTCTGAGAAGGTTCCATCTGGGCCCTGAAGAATGGAATTGCCTAGCTAGGGGAGAGGATTCCAAGGCCATCTCAAATGCTGCCTCTTCCCCGGATCCCCAGGACCCCAGCACCCTGGCAACGCCGCCTTCCCATCGGAGTTCCATGACTGAACGCGCGCGTGGATCCGAGACCCAACTCGGCCGCACAGTTGGGACGCCACACACGGGTGGGGCCTGAGCGCCACGGCGGCCCTGAGGGCAATGGGCAGCGGCCAGGGAGGGGACTCGCAGCCGGATGCCCAGCGCTAGGAGGACCGACCCGCGCGAAGAAGCGCGCTGTCCACGGCCTCACTGCACGCCCGGCGGGGACGCGGCCTGGCAGCGCGGGGCTCTCACCCGCTGTCCAATCGGCAGGCCCAAGTCCCCCGCTCCGCGCCGCCGGCCAAGGGCCAGGGACAGCGGCAGCACTCACCCGGTGGCCGCCGCCATGCTTCCCCAGCTCCAGCGTCACGTGAAGTGGGGCGTCAGCTGAGCCCGACCAGGTCCCACTCCGGGGGGCGGGGCTGAATGGGCGGGGCCAGGGCGGGGCTGGATGGGCGGGGCCGGGAGCCCCTGTCCAGTGCCCTCCGGCGAAGCGCTTCCCCCGACCCGGAGGGGCGGAGCCCTGGAGGAGGTGGAGAATCTGTCTCGTCGCCCGCCTCTTGCTGCAGGCGAGGGGTGCGGACAGAGGCCTTTCCAGAATAGAAGCGAACATACCCGAGGCAGTGAATACCTTGATTCTGCCCTTCACCAGACGTCCCAGCCTGCCCAGGGGGGAAGATACCTTGAGAGAGGAGCCTCTGACCCAGTCTAGTAACGGGCAGAGATGACAGTGGTTGGCTTAAGAAGGGAAATGGCTTGAGCAAAGGCCAGGGCAATTGAAGTAACCTAAAAGTTCAGTGTCCAGGAGAGAGGGGGGGGTGCAGCCTCAGAGGTGAGCAAGGGTCAGATCTTGCACTGCCTTGAAAATGGGGCTAGGGAGTTAGGCCTGTTGGGACCTTTCTGAGCTCGCTCAACTGCAGGGTGGAGAAGAACCTGAAGGCAGGGCGGCCAGTGAGGAGGGCTAGGGAGAAGTGGCCACAGGGAGGGCACAGTTCAGGATGGAGAATCGATCAGAGGGTCACCCGCCACCCTTGCCCAGCTGTGCACTCTTGTTGGGTGCAGGGTCCTCCAGAGAGTTGAGAAGTGGAGCAGGAAGGGGGATGGTAAGTAAATATTCCAAGTGTTGACTAAAAAAGATGTACAGCTTGAGAGTTACAAGTTAAGTTTTATTTGGGAGAAAATGAGGACTGCAGCCCCGGGAGGCAGCATCTCAGATAGCTCTGAGAGACTGCTCCAAAGCAGCAGTGGGGGAAGGTCAATATATAAGGTTTTGGTGAAGGGGGTGTTCAATAACTTGAAGCATTCATTTTACAAAAGGGTTTTTGTTATTCATGAGGATCTGATGTCACCATGAAGGGACTCAGTGCTTCTCTAAACAGGAGGAGATGCAAGGATTGAGATCATAAAATCTGTTTCTAAAAACATCCAGCTATCTAAAGACACGTCCCACCAGATTCCCTGGAGCAAGGAGTGTCTCACTCCACCTTAAACTCCCTCAGGGGTTGTTGAAGGTCCACAGCTATGGCAGCAGGGGGTTCAATCTCCGTAGAGGTAGGTGGAAAATGCCTTTGTCATTCCGTTGTTGGCAATGCTCTTGGTAAGTGCCAGTTTGTAGTTGACGCAAGGCAGCTCCCTATGCTGTTGGTACCTTAGAATAATAGTAACACTAGCAGGTATGGAGCACTTACTGTGCCCCAGTGCTTTGCGAATGTCATTTCACTGAATCCTCACAAGAGCACTGTGAGGTGGGCTTTGTCCTTAATGCCATTTTACAGATGAGAAAACTGAGGCCCAGAGAGATAAATTGAAGAAGGAATTCATAGGTTCTGGACTCCATCTCAGGCCTGTCCGTGCTGATCGTGCTCGGCCACCTCTCCAGTGGACTCTGAACTCTCTGCTTAGGGTCTGTGGGAAGGACAATGTAAGGATAAGACCCCCTCCGGACAGGGGAACCTTGAAGATCATATCCAGGTTACTCATCACCTAAGAGAAAACAGACACTAATCACCCCTGCCTCCAGACAGTATCTATCAGAATGTAAGCACAGGCTTATCGGTTATTAACTGGTTGGGATGTAACCGCGGGCTTATTATTATTAACTGTTTTAACACATAACATGAATGTGAATGATGAATGTGAATGATGAATGTGAATGATGGGGTTATTGTGATTGTATTTACCCTTCCTTTGTAAGCATCAAGGGATTGGGGTGGTGGGTTTGGACGGGGTGGTGGGTTTGGACACGTACACATGGGGTATAAAAGATTTTCACAAATGCTGGTCGGAGTCCTTGGCTAAGAGGAGACTCTGCCTTGGGCCCGCCGGTGTAATAAACTGCACTCCACTATGTGCATTGTCCTTCTGAGTGAGTTTGTTTCCCGGAAAGCGTGGCTATAACAAACTAACTCACCCAAGTTCACACAGGGGCTGAGTTCATGCAGTAGCTACTTGGGAGTGACTCACACTCGCTCTGTAAAGGAAGGGGCCCAGGGCTAGTGGGAGGGGGAACCCCTTGAGTCCTGGGCCACACGAGGCCGTGCAGATGTGGGTGGACAGGAGGAGGGGCCCAGCGCATGCCCACAGCCCCTAGCTATCTCACAGCTGGAAGTAGCTTCTGTTTGGCATTTGGGGTGCCTCTTGTTTCTTTGTCAGGATCAGGATGTGGGTCACCGTGGCTGAGCTAGGGAACCACCAGGGACTGTGAGACAGAAGCAGCTCTGTTTGCCCCCACAAAGCTGGGAAGAGAGCAGCCCCTTAAACAGGCGGAAAGGGCAAGTCGAAGCATAAGCAGGTGGGTGACTTGAAGCGTGCCTGCTTCATGTCCGAGCGCCATCCCTGGATTCTTCATCTGTCAGGTGGGAGCTAATGGTTCTTGCCTCATGGGGCTGCTGTTGGACTTCACGAACAAACATCCAGGCATCTTCAGCCTGTGGCACAGCTAAAATGGCCAAAGCTGTAAGGAGGCCGGCAGCTCCTCCAGACAGCCCTTCCCACCTCCCTCACCCAGATAAAGCCAAGGAGACTTGATGGAAGGAGGGGACCCCCATCCTTCCTCCCACTTCCCACTTCCTCCAGGGACCCCAGAGAGGACCTATCTGCCCTCTTGGCAGTTTCCAAGGAGCTGAGCAGAGGTATAAGCCCCACGCCCCACTGCCCAGCCCGTTTTTCTGAGAACTTGGACTCCCCCACCCTCATTTCCATTAGCAGTTTTCCACCTTCAGCTGGAGAAACTTGATTCTCTAATAAGAGACACTTCTTAAAAACAACAAAGAGTGAGAAGAATGAGCTTCTCATGCTCTTTTGTGGGAGGAAAACCTGCCCTGGAGCTAATCACCACCCCTCCACCTTTTCTTTTAACAGAAAATAATGTCAGAATTAAGCCAGCTGCCAGCTCGGAGTGTTTATTAATATGAAAAAGAAGTAATTATCCTAAACAGTCACAAAATAATAGGGGGAGGTCACCTACCGACTGAGTGGGGTGCCCTTGTTTGCGGGCAGTGCTGGAGGCGGAGGGCTGCCCCTAATTCCTGCCCACCCAGGTCTGTCTGGATGGTGGGCTTACCCTGCCAGTGAGCCTGGTACAGAGGGCGGCTCGCCACTGCTCACCCCCTCCCATCAGAGGCTCTGGCAGGGCTGTCCCCACTCTCACCCCCTCCTTATCAGGGCTCTGGCAGGGGCTCCAAGAGAAGCAGCCCTGGGAATGGGAGAAGATTGCATAGTTACTCATGCAGGGCCGACCCTGAACGCTGCTGGGAGCCAGGAGGCAATTGGGGAAAGATTGATTTTAGAGGGTTGGAGCGAGAGTGTATAAATCAGCAAGGGAGAGCTCCAGCCAGCACTCTCAGGCCTCACGCAGCGTCCCCTCTGAGGTCACAAACCCTTGGCTGAAATAGTCACCCCTCGTCGTGACCTACAAGTGGCTGAGAGGTGTTTGCATTCTGCTGGCCCAGTGGCCGGGGCATTGTGGCTCTCGAGAAGTGCCCTGCCCTGGCCAGAGCCCACAAAGGAACTTGGTCCCAGGAAACCTTCTCCTTGGAGCTCCCAGGGCTCCCTTTGTCTCTGTGAGAACATGTCCTGCCAGGTTTCCCTGCTCTGCCCACCCTGCTTGACCCAGGCAGCATGCCCCTGCAGCTCCATGGACACTACTGACAGCTGGCTGCCTGGAGATGGTTGGCCCGGAGGTGGCCAGCAGCCAGACTCTGACTTGCAGCAGCAGACTCTGACTCGGGGCCTCACAGGAGCGTCCCTGGAAGACCTGGAGGACCTGGGCACCTTCCATCTTCTATGACATACTGAGGACACTGGTCTGCCGGAAGGCTCTGTGTCACCACACTGGATGCAGGCTCTGCCCCTGCTATCAAGCTGTGCCATATGCAGATCCTGGAGGTCTGGGAGCAGAAGAGGAAGAGGGGGCCCCCAGCATCATCCCCAAGGAGCCCACCATCTGGGAGGGCCTAAAGCAAGGGTGTGTGATGAGTCAGGGGGGTTACTGAGGGTTTCTGAGCAGAAGAGCAGCGGGGTCCGAGTCCATGTCTGGGGCTGGAGGAGCTAGCAAGAGGCTCTGTGCCAACTATATGGGGGCACCAGCCTCAGAGGGTGACACCCCACACGGGGTGGCATGTGAGGTTTCTGTGACTCTTTGCTTTTTCTGACAATGGAAGATGGGGCTCAGGAAACCGACCGAACAGAAAGAAGAGAGGGTGTGAAAGGGGAGGCGGGGGTGGTATCGTCTAACCCAACCTCTTCCCGAGTGGGAAAGGAAGGCGCGTGATGGAAATGAAATGCCCAGGAGGCCGCCTCTCCATCACGGTTCTGGCAGCTCTCAGCCCTCAGTCTTTGCAACATCAGCAGCAGCAGCAGCCGCTGCTCTCTGACTCCTGGGGCCAGCCTGGCTGGCTGCCTCCTCCAGGCCACGCCACAACTGTCACCATCATCCCTCAGCCCCCCAGAGGAGCCCCCACGCCACCTCACACTCCTCTTGCCCTCGCTGGCCCTGCCTGGCCCACCTGGGCATCCATCTTCCTGCAGAAAAGAGGTGGGCAGCAGCCCCGGGGCCTTCCCCAGGAAGCCCCGTCACCGGCTCAGATGAAGTGGTCCCCTCTGACTGCTCTGCCAGGGTCTACGAGGCAATTCAAGATGAGAAATGGAACGATGCCTTTGGAAAGGCAAATCATTCCAACAGCACCTTAAAAACAGCAGAGGAAACAAGCTCGTGTGTGTGTGTGTGTGTGTGTGTGTGTGTGAAAATGGGGAATATATTGTTTTTCACTGTTTGGAAGACTGTTTTCTCATCTTGAAATCACAAGCTGTTTTCTTCCAGAGAGACTTATAAATACATCCAATTATCAACATTCAATATAGGAAATAAAGTTCTGAAATGGTTTTCTTTCGCACACGAGGAATGGGC